GTATCCTATATGTATATTTAATACAGTTTTTAGCAATAGAATAAAAATAAGAATAGACGCATCCTCTGCTGTATGGTAGCATACTTAATAATTACCGATTGTATTATACATTATTATTATTATTGTGTAATCATTTTTATTTCAACTCTATATTCCAATATAGAATTAAAAAAAACATGTTAAAGACCACAGAAGAAAGGCAATGTATTGTGTATTTCTAAACCTATGTGACTTATTCTGCATACGCAGCGATAGTTCCTAACGAAAGAAGAACTTTGTGTCTAATTATATTTTTTACTTTTGTAATCATTTATCTTTTTGTGACAATATTTTTTATAAATATTAGACATCGATAACTGCACCAGTGAGAAGTTAGAGTGGATCCAAAAATATACATTCTAAAAAAATTTTATTTAATTAAATAAAATGTTCGTACATCGTATGAAACAATTTGTTAATTTAGATGAGGCGAGGGTCGTATTAAATGAAACTCAAGTCTGCCAACTCCCTCGGGGTTGTAGTGTTAGTTTATTTATGTTTCCTCCGCCAAACGATATTCCAATATAATATATAGTGAACAGTTCCGTAGTCGAGTAGTCGTTGATGTATTTCTACTTAGTATACGGGTAAATAAATGGCCATAAGTAACAGACAAAGCAATAATCTGATTGTCCATGATAGAAGGCGCGGCCAGTTCACATACACAGGATCTGGGCTCTATTTGTTGCGCCCGCGCAGTAAGTCATGTGTGACGACGCTCCCCATCAGACATTATAAAACTACTTGTATGAATAAATTATACGGATAACACAGAGTAGTTCATATTGACTTTAAAAAAGATGTGATGTTTTAAGTATCTATGTAATAATATACATAGTAATATCGTATATTTTTTATTAATACATATATATGTATTGTATATTAAAAGAAAAATGCGATTTTTCACCAATTAAAAACCGTTTTATTTATATTAAATAGTATTTAAATTTTTATTTCAGTTGCATTCCAGTTTTGTAATATTTATTTTTAGAAAACGAATTAAATTCTATTGATCCGTTTTCATGTGATACTAATAATAAGCAAGCAAGATAATAATAACCATTTTTCGTAGTTCAGTCATTCATCATCGTCCATCAACACAAAATATACTATACTGCTACCCTTAATGGCTGTGTCCTTCATGTATTTGGACACATAGTACAAATGTTAATATTTTATTTTTTAATTTTTATTTTTGTTATTGACTGGTGTCATCTCTATATTCAGAATATTGGTTTAAATTTATCTACCACCATATTTTTTCTATTTTAATATTGAGTGTCTCACGTTATATTTCAATTGTGTTCCTTTGACTTATTAAAATCAAGGTCCAATAAGTTATTTTCTCGCTTATGAAATATTGTAATTACAAGGAACTGCTTTATATGCATAAAACTTTCGACGAATATTTTGCAATACATTACAGATTTATTGGCTCATATGTGCAGCTGAGTTTCAAGTTCTCGATTCACCGAATACGAGTTTGTGTCTGCTTATTTTAGTATCTGACTGTGGGCCAATTCGATTTCACGGACCAACCACTGCCAAAACATACTGTGTATCGAGTTGTCGACATAATATTAGATATTTCACTGTAGTTCAGGATATGTACTATAGCTTAAATTTTTCTGATTAAAAGAAAGTCAGCTTCTTTGCAGTGGACTGTCTATAACTTATTTATCTTATGTTTATTTAATTAAAAGACTTTTTTTAGAATATATTTTTATATTATGTAAATATCAAAACTAAATGGTATTAATTATGTTATGTAGTAGATAATGGGCAAAAGGAGATCTACAAAATTTAAACAATAATTTAAGTGCTTAGGTAATTTAATAGATTCAGCATTGAAGTTTTTTTTGTTTTTGTTAATTGATAATGAATATGTCTTAGTGTTCATGTGATTCGTACAATCCGTGCAACACACACAAAATCGCATCAATTAATTACAGTTTTCTATAAAGTAGTCTAATTTCTGTCAGAGACTCCAATTTCCGGATTAACAATTTCTGTTTATATCCACTGAAGGAGAAACACATAATCGATATTTTTTCTACTGTTAACTATTAAATACATTTTGGTGAGAGTTAGAAAATATGTATTCGTAAATTATCGTCAGCATGGTAAACATAGCAAAATTATTACAGTACTGTTACTTTTTCTAAAAGTACTCATATTAAGTTCGTTAATCTATCTATATGTAGTCTTATAAAAATGTATTAAATTATCATTCTTCATTACGTGTACATAGAACTTTATATTATTTTATAGGTTTAATATACATATAATATAATATATTTTATCGATATATAAAGAACATCAAAATATATTACAATTGTTTTTCCATATTGATCGTTATTAAGATATGTTTACTTTCGTATTTGGAATAAAACTAGAACAATATCCAAAAATATATTAGCATTCTAAAGCAGTTATCTACAGACGGAATTGTAAAGTCGTAATTGACATGCAAAGCGAAGCATAGTCAAAAACTGGGTGTAAGGAAAAAAAATATCAGACCTTAATGGCGTCGATATTTTATGAATATTTTATCTACATCAATAAGAATCATTCATGGGTTCCTTTTATAATAATTTTGAAAATAAATGGATCTTAATTAAGTGACGTTTTTGTTTGTGATTTTATTGGCACTTCCTTTTAGTTTGTGAAGAATTTACAAATTTTGATAAAATAGAAAATGTTTGAAGATTTTAAAGATACAATTTCACATAAATTTATATTGGGTTTTATCATAGATATTTTACGATATTAAGTTTATTTAAGTTTTTATTGTGGGTAATATAAAATAGCGCTCGTTAGTAGAGAGTCTGTACTAACGGCGAATGGTTTCGAAGTCCTATGTTATTTTTTACGAACATATATATAATGGAATATTTCTTTCTTATTAATTATATATTTTGCAATTTAAAATTTTCTCAATATATTTTGCAATAAAAATATTTAGTGCTAACATTGAACTGATGATTTGTCATGGGACTTGAAATGAAGTAAAAGTGGCTTGTGCTCTGCAGACACTCTCAACTGCCTGCATAGTTAAGCGCTTATTGACAGTGCGAGGAATGCCCGCGGTGTTAGGCTTTCTCCATAATTATTCCGTACACGTTAATTCAATATTGGTTTAGCACCATCGTCAGAGAGGTACTGACCCACATCCTTCACCTTCAAATGCTAGTTTGTTTACTGATCGCCAACGCATTTAATTCGATTCTTCGTTTCTTCTGTAAAACTTGACATATATGACGTTGATAAAACGTTCGAAATATTGAGCTGAGTTTTGGTTTCAACTTATTTAGTTAATTAACAAATATACTTTTGATAACGATATATTTGCTAGTAAGTAGGTTTTATTTTGAATATTGTACTAGAAATGTCATTTAGTAACTTTACAAATGATAATATAAGACAAAGTCTGAAAAGAAAGATTACTTTATTGAGCATAAAAAAATTTATTACTATTATGGAAGTACAGAACAGTGCGAACACAAGACCGGTTATGGTATGGTATGGTCATTATTACTATAAACAAAAATAGTAATTAAAATTGATAATGGAATTATAACAACCAGTATTATCTTATAAATGTATTATTATATATCTAAGAAGATTTATTTAGATTATATCTAAATAAATCTTCTTTACCTCAGAAGTATTGAACCAATTTTCACCTATCTATTTTTAAAGGTTTGTACTCATACATTGTCAGCAAGTATCATTAGATGTATTTTATTTTCATAAAATTAGAAATCTTTACAATCTGTATGAAACTTGCCCGGTTGCTATTCTACTATAAATAGTGAAAGGTTCAAATCAATTTGAAACGCTATAATGGGCTGGTTGTTAAGTATACATAATCGGAAAACGTTTGCGAAGGTTGTAAGAAAATCGCAGTTAGATTATTAACACTTCATTCATTTTGGTACAGTTTATTGTTATGTAATTTAAGCCAGTTAAGATTATTTTTACCATTTATATTATTTACCTACATGAAATTTATCCCTGTCGATAACACGATTGTTTTTATTTATTAGCTGATAGTTTCCTTCTGTATATAATACCTACTGTATGATTGAAAGTAGAAATTTAGTAGCACCGACTGGCTTTAGAACCTCAGACTGGCATTTAGTTCATGTAAATGTCAATACCACTTTTGGGAGTACTTCAAAAGGTGTCCTTTATCCCCTTGGTGGTTGTATTTTTTTTTTATAAAATTGCATAATGAAATCGCAGGTTGACTTTAACGCTAACCGAGTTGACAATCCAAAAGACGTGTAATGGTATTCATGGATAAAAACACAGAGGAATGCAATTAAACTGAACATTTTTGAGACAAATCTGCGCTATCTTATTGATTTTTATTTGTTCGTTGCAATGCCGATTTGATCTCGTCGAAAATCCGTTTTGACACCCTTATTTTTATTGTAATACATAAACCGGTACTTTATTTTGTTTTCACAGAATATGTAACATGCAGACATAAAATACACGATTTGAAAAATGTATAATATTAATATCCAATGTAGACTTTTATTTCATAATTAAGTAAATAAATAATTAATTATTGTATGATTGTTTTTCCTATAATATAATTATTATTATTATTCACTAGAGTATGAATTACAGGTACTTTTAAGTTACAAGATTTGTAAGCTTTTTTATGTAAAGGTCATTAAAATAGTTATATAGATTACGGCATACTTTTATTCATATGGGAAATCTAAAATTGCATGTATATGCATAATGTCACAAAGTTAATGTTTTCATAAATGCAATCTAGATCATAGAGTAGGGCAAAGACCAGTTTAAAATCAGAATTTTTCATTTAGCCGAAATGGAATCGTTATGATTCCATACTAATATTGTTAACATCTTATGTTAGACTTCTTTTAGGAATAGAACCTTAAATTTTCATTATGTTTGATGTATTTGATTGTGATTTACAGAGACCGTCATGATTGCGCCGACGTTCAAGGCGCGCTCGACCTCGCCAGGTATTGCTTGCCGTGACTTTTAAATTACCAACCCCTCTATTGACATACCCATCCGTATGAATACTCATTTGTGTTATGAGTGTGAATGTATGTTCTTAAAATATACTGTCGAAAGGGTTGCTTTTTATATTTTTGCACGGTAATGGTAGCTAGTAACCGACGAAATATCTACTGTATATGAAATTGCAAAATAATAAAATGTTAAGGAGCTATCCTTAACATTTCATTAATTCATCGTATTATACATAAATTGTTATACCTATAAATTATTCAGTAAATACCATAAATAACACAATAATATGATGTTTATTAATCATTCAGGCAAATTATTTTTGTACTGCAAATGAGTAAATTATTGTGGAACAACATTGTTTAAAAAATTCTAAAACTTGACTACGATGAAAAAGCAACTTTTAGTTTAATTTCGATAATGGTAAAATTGTAGGTAATTTTTATTTTCTAATAAATCTAGTTCAACGTTTGTATAACTTTCTTTATAGATATCGTAATATAAGAAATTTCTAGAATATTTTTTAAAAAGTTTAAAAAATATTATATCTCTGGTTATAAAAGTTATATCCATAATATGTTTGCTAAGTTAAGTTACTTAGCAAACATATTATGGATATAACTTTTATTGAAAACTATTATAATAATATATGTTACCGGAGAGATATATATATATTTAAAAATTTTATAGACAGAATTGTAGTAATTTCATACGTTGAATATGTTACTGGACCAAAATAGCTATTTACGTTAATATTCGTATATAAAAATAATGATTCGCTTTGTAATATCTAATTATAATATTTATAACGACTGATTTAACCTTTACTACCCATTTACCCGTTACTATTATTATACGAGAACTTCACGATATCCCACTATACATATAAAATATACATATGAATACAAATACTTAGTAATTTAACATAAGTAGACATATACTTGTATTCTTGGAATGTTTTCGTTGTCTTTATTCTCTGAACTAATAAGCTTAACAATGTATTGTGTTTGAAATGAAGCAGTGTTTTTACATTTTTGTGTTTTGTTTTGGTTTGAATTGTATTATTTGTGTTGTTTTAATTTATTGTGTTTGTTTATGTGTATACTACTTATAATTTTAACATACTGTAGGTATATATTTTTTAACGTATTAAATACGTTGTTGTAAATTTGATTATTAATTATGATACTTTAGTAATTGAATTGGATATATTTTACCACAAAACATTACATACACATATTTATTATTAAATATGAATAATTAACGAAATACAAAAGGTAAACAAAATTTGCTTTTGTCGGAATAATGGTATACAACGATCTTAATATTCAACCCTTCAGGATATAATTTTGTACTAAAATTATCCCAATTATAAGGTACACTACCTAAATGCGCTGTTCTAAATGAAGATGTTTCTTGAATTGGTCGGCAAAGGATTACCTCCGAAACATGTAAAATAGGGACCTGCTGTAGCTTACAAGAAAATTGTATTCCACGAGAACGTGGAATTCCACGAGAATGTACAGAAGTACATTGAATAATATTTGCTGTAGAATACATTTAACTTTACCTATAGATTTGTTAACCGAAGTTCGTCTTTATCGTTATTAATATTACACGTAAGTTTATTCGTATTTTATTATTAGATTGTCAACTGTAATCTAAAAACAAAATTCTTTACTTTTGTACAATTTGTATTTTTTAGTTTATCATAAATGGCTAAATAGACAACTTTACAAAAAAATAAAAAAGTATTCGTATACAAGTATCAAATTCTATATATATAGGAATATGTACCAAGATATTCATAGAAACTTGTACTGCTACTAACTGATCTCAAACACAGTTAAACAATTGGGATTGGAAACTTAAAATTTGGAACATAGAATTCCTTTGTGGTGACGATAGACTTCTCGAAATTCCGACAGTACGGCAGATTACGTGTGTTCTATGGTAAAATAATCCATCTCTCCTGTGACTTATGGTATGGAATGCAACAAAAAAATAATAAAATTCAATTAATAGGTATTTTTTCTATGATATCTGAACGTAAAATATTATGAATATGTTTAATGTAAGAAACAGAAACATTTTAAAGAAAGAGAAAATAACAAAATATTAATTTCATGACTATTTAATATTCTCTTCTTTGCTTTCATAAGATACTATTTTAAATAACTAATAGATATTTTGTATTATTAATCTATTCATAAACAAGTATCAGTCTTAGATAAGTACTATATTTCATAATTAATCATTGTAGATAATTACTTACATTACATAGAACGTACAAAATTTTGAAAACAAATTATCACATAACTTGAATGCGTGCAAACGCTTAGGACGCAACTTCTTTACGAGACGCCGACAATCATATACGAAATAACCATAAAAAGGGCGGGATCATAAAGCGAACATTAGTCCCTTCACATTACTGCTGACGCGGCGTATTTGGTATTACCACGCGAATATGGTGTGCTATTATTTATCATGCTATTCCATACCTTAAGTAAAGGGACTAAAGCTGTTAACTGCATATAGGATTTCTTCATACCATGCTTAATATTATGTGTGGCAGACATGACCACAGAAGTGGTCCAGTCATTACATTTAGTGATAGAATTGACACATTATCAACACGTTATTAATATTTTTTACATATATTAGAATCTGTACTAGAAATATTAGTAGATACAACATGTAAACTAATTAAAGTGCATACCTATATACGTAGGCTGTACAGATTTTTGTACTTTCTTTTTTCTGAAAATTTTAGAAAATATTTATTATATTTTCACTTTGATAGACTTCGGTCCAAGTCTTCATACCCATTAAATACCCCTGTCTCAACTAGGTATATATTTAGGCATCCATCAAGCACCTTGCTTTATTAGCTTTAATTCGGTTGAATAGGGAAATTAAAATTAAAAAATAAATAGTTAAAGCCACAAAGAAATGTGATACACAGTTATATTTTACTATAATTCTCATCTCGTGTCCATTATATTTATGGAATGAAAGTATAATAATATAGTTTATATTATTATACTTTCATACCTTTATTCATTTACATGTGTGCTTTATGAAATGTAGAAATCAGCTGACACGTAGATAAGGAAATTATTGCTGCGAGCGAAATTCTTTTGAAAACACCATTAACGTTATATCATGACACTTTCATATGTGAGTTCAGTTTATAAAGCCTGATGTGACTTGTTATGAATTTTCGGATCATGGACTAGATGGTGACGTAGTAACAAATATAGATTTTTGTCGATGAGGCGTATTTTTTTCGTTATTCATTTCAAGAGAAACAAAAAACCTCCTTTGAACGAAAGAGAATCCGGTTCGTGTTCCCTAAAGCCCTTAAATATACTTAATTGTATGTAACTACATATTTTTTATTCTAATTAACCAAGTAAAGTTTCACTCCAATTACATTATTCGAAGTGAAGAGAAGTTGAATATATTATGAAACGAATAATTTGAATTATTGGCAAAAAGAACGTTATATACAGTTTACATTTTTGAAATGTGTAGTAGAAAAGTAAATTGTTGTTTAATGAATATATTATCATACTATGCAAAATAATATTACACGACCAGTTTTTAATGGATTACGGTACGGCGTATTGTTTGCAGATGGTTTAAATTAGTGATTTACAGCCATTTCATAATATTTATATGGTGAGGAATACAATTTTGGTAACATTAAAAGTTTATCAATTAAATTATCAGCAATTTTTTTTCATATGCATGTAGTAAAAATGTTTATTTCAATATTACAAACAGACACTCCAATTTTATTTATATGTGTAGATTACTAACTTACCGGAGTCTTTTATTATAAATGTCATATATATTTTATTTTTTAAGATAACCATTTTTTAAGCTTGTAATATATTATATAAAAATGTCTGCATATCTATGTTATTCTCCTTTATCTATTTTGTTTCCGCGGAAAGCAATAAAAGAGAATTAGGGTAGATTGAAACGACAGTTAAAAGTGTAAAACCCATATTATGTTCGTTAACGATTAAGTAGTATAAAGTGTTACTTCCGTTAGAAACTATGCCGCTATATTATAACACTATCAAACTAAGCTCAGGCGGGTCGCCTTATATGTATTACGTAACATTAATGATAACGATAATACCGTACCATACGCTTCTTACTCTGGATTGTGGATATAACACATTCCGAGATAGACTTGTGGCCTTGATTATTTGATACTAAAATTATATTCTAGATGCCACAAGTGCTGTATAAAGCAAATTGCTGAGTGATTGGAATAATAGAGACAAAGACTAAGCAAATGACTTTTTAATAAATAAATAAATAACCCTGAACAATTAACTCATCGTCATCTAGTCCCACAGAAAGCAAAGCTTGTTAGGGATACTAGACAGCTGATATAAATACTTAAATATATATATATATATATATATATATACTGTAAATACATACATAATATACATAGAATACGCCTAGACCGATACAAACAATTATACTCATGAATACAAATGTTTGCACCGTGCGAGAAATCGAACCCGCGATCATCAAAAGTAAAACGGTGTACTAAACCACTGATTAATTAAACTATTAAATTATTAATCATTCATATTAATATGAGTATCGTCACATTATTTCAATTGTACTTTTACGTATTACACGCCCGCTATTAAGCTTTACCCGCGACGCGTAGAATTTAACAAAAAAGTTAATTAGAGAATATTTATAAAATAAAAGTAGCCAAGTTACTCCTTATTACATCAGCTACCTGTCAATAAAAGTCCCGTCAAAATCGTTTCAGTCATTTCAGAGATTACCCGGAACAAACAGACAGACAGTCATTTATTTATATGTAGACTTGTAGTAGAAGTAATCCATTAACGTCAATAATTGTGCTTTTAGACAGACTTATTTAGTTAGTAGAAATGTATTAGACTTTCGAACCAATACCACTGCGGTAGAGTTGTTTGACTTGCCT